CCTCCTTTCGAATGTTGAATGAATTCAAAATACGCAATTTTTTGTTTTTAGCTAAAATAAACATATCTTAAATGTCTCTATAAATTTTAATGCGACCACCTTGGTTCAAAATTGGTCAAATGAAAATATCGATGAACATATGTACATAAAAAAATACATCGCCGTTGAACATATAATCACCTCTTTTTCGATTTTGAAGTCGGTTAAAAACTGGGGAAACATGTGACATGTAGAATTTTATTTGTGGATAGTATAACATTCAGTTTTATAAATTTTTCCGCAACTTCTTCCAAATAAATTGTAACTTGTTACCCGCGTGCAATATTGCTTCGCGTAGGTAAAATAATTTTTAAAATCGGTCCAATAGAGTCGGAGCCATTTCAATGCAAACAATAAAACCTTCTTTCTCTCTTTTTTCTGGGACTGTAAAGACAAAAATGACCGAAATTTACCCAATATGTCGCGCTAAGCTCTAGTCTACTAAATATACCATTGGAAAATTTACCAATAAGCTGAATGGGCTGTGGCCACTATTCTAAACGTCCTTTTTATAGATGTATTTAGTATGGAGGTGGTTATATAAATAAGTTTCGTTCTATATAAAGAGCAAATGAATGAAAACGTAAAAAAATACCGTTTCTATAATTGCCTGTACATTTAAAAATTACCGATGCTCTAATAAAAGGTACAATGTCTTACATTGTGAAACAGAGTCCCTCTTTATATGATGTTTATTCTGAAATGTAATATTTATGAGGAAGTAAGATTAAGATGATGACTTTTGGCACAGATAATATAACACTACCTCTTTTGGTTAAGTGCAAAGTACTTTTATTATTAAATATTACTTATGCTTTGAATTATATAGTATCACTGTCTCAATGCCGCAACGTTAAACGCACATAATATGATACATAGATTTATTACTTTTTATTACTAGTATAGCAATATATTAACTATAGTTAATATATTGCTATACTAGTAATAAAAAGTATGCTATAGCATTACTTATGAATTCATGTGCTAGTGTGTTTGTTAGTATCATCAAATAGGCTCCGAAACTCCTGGAACATTTATAAAATTATTTCACCAACAGGAAGCTACGTAATACACGACTGACATAATCTATAATTAACGCGGGGAAAATCGCAGGAAAACATCTAGTATTTATGAAGTAAATATAATTCATCGTTTTTTGCTATTGTATCACTTCTATTCACTGTCTAAAACTTTTACATGAGTTTTGCTTTGAGAGTCCACGGTATTTGCTCTACATATATAGAAAGAATATTTCCGCTTCGAACCCTGATAAATTTCTTGAAAACTACTCTGTTTCACAACCAAGCTCAATTTGATTCTCTTTCTAATTTCTCTACTCTGTTGTGTTGAGTTCCTTAAAAATTGACTTCCTAAAAAAGTATTGGGCGAGATTACTTGATTTTGAAATTTATGTAGATTTTTATTTAGGACTAATATAAGGAGTCTTTTAGGGTAACACTGAATATTTCACCGAAGTTGTATCTAGAGCCATTGGCTTGACTTGTTGAACTTATCCTTGTTATATTATAAATGCGAAAGTTACTTTATATATCTATGTGTTATACAATCACGCCTAAACTACTGAATTGTAAATGAAAATTGGTACAGATATATAGCATAGATACCTAGTCCAGAGCCTAAGACTTTTAACCGACTCCAAAAAAAAGAGGAGATTCTCATTTCGACTGTATTTTTTTCTGTTTGTTACCTCATAACTTTTTACTGGGTGGACCGATTTTGATGATTCTTTCTTTATTTGAAAGCTAGTAACCATATAAGTCTTAAAATTGCATTAAGTTTTAACTTTTTAAAATTGGAAGTCGATTCCATTTTTTTAATGAGTAAAAAGACAAATGAATGAAAGCTAGTAAATAATGAATTACTTATTTTAATATACTCATATACTATTAGATGGAAGTTTTTACAGATCTTTCCGAAAATAATTAACTTCATACCAGAGATCCCAAATTTATACAAACACACTTAAAAATCAATTGCAGTTCGTTTGTCACGCTAAAATTCAAGAACAGCTAGGCCGGTTTAGCTAATGTTATATTTTGAAATGTTTGTCGAAGTTATGCAGAGTGAGTACATAACTCCTCTTGCTAACTCTAACCATAGGATACGACATCTTAGCACTGTTATAGCGCTATTTCGTTTCATTTAATTGAGCCATGATTCTGGCTAGGGAGATAGATGATATGAAGTACACAGGGTCATCTAGTTACGAAGATAAATAGACTTTACCAGATTTTTTAAGAAATTATTCCTCAACCTCTTTAATTATAGGTTAAAAGTGTATATAGATACACTTTTAGCCTATAATTAAAGCCTATTACACTTTTAGCCTATTATAATTCCTCAACCTCTTTAATTATTATAGGCTAAAAGTGTATATAGATAGCCTATAATTAAAGAGGTTGAGGAATAATTTCTTAAAAAATCTGGATAAGTCTATTTATCTTCGTAACTAGACTAAAACCCCTATGGCTTTCGTCTGTTTTCGAACCTATTAGCATACAATTAATACTACTGGACTTATGATCTTCGTTAACATTTCGATGATTATATGGTTGGGAAATCACAAGATGTAGGCCCGATTATTATTAGATAAAAAAGGATATAAAAATGCATCTGTGATACGCAATAAAAAAGGATTTTTAATGGACAAAATTAAACATAAACATTTCGATAAGCAACTTAAAAAAAGTGATTAACTGGTAGCAATTTTTCTATGAATGTGAAAAGACAATTACGATTATAATGTTACGATATTTTGGTCGAGTTAAACAGTTAAATAATAATTATAGGAGCAATTTATTTGAGAATAATTGACGACACGACGATTGATCAATACAAATTGTTACTAGATAAAAATTAAAAAACCATTATTATTATTATTTGTATTATAATAGTAGCAACATTCAATAAGTTGACATCTTTCTTTTAGAGAACTGAGGTCACTATAAAAATATATTTGACTGATTTCGGTAACAGTGTTATACATACAGTAAATTAGTCCTATATAATTTATTTAGCCATAAAACCACTCTTTTTCCAATTATCCAGAAAAGTATTGTAAGTAAGGTCAATAAAAATAACCGAAATAAGGAAAGTGTCGTCACGATATCAATTTTAAGTTATGACTACATAATTTTAACTGTAAATTGTTTATGAAATGTGTGGCAGATACCTAATTTGACGTATCTATTTATCAAATATAAATTATCAATCTGAACTAAAAGTACACATAGGAACGACCTCCGTAGCCAAGTGGTTCGCACGCCGGTTTCAAGGTGTCGCCATCTCTGAGGTCCCGGGTTCGATTCCCGGTCGGGTCAATGTAGAAAATAAACTTTTCTATATTGACTCGGGTCTGGGTGTTGTGATACCTTCGTTGTCTCAGATACTCCATAATACGGGGGCTTTAGCTACTCATCTTGGAATCTGAGCAATGTATGTGATGTTGTTAAATATTTATTTATTTATTAAGGTCGATTTTATTTTGTAGAAGAAATTCTTTATTTTACAAAAAATCTTTAACAGTCATTAGTTAAAACAATTTGCAAATGAGTTGAATTAGTTTATAGTAAGTACACTGTATAACTGTGCTGCTATACAGTTACTATTACAATGAGCTAAATTTCTGCAATTGATTTTTAAAATTGCTCAGATTTCGCAGACCTGCCCGAATATCGAACCCGAGATCTCAGAGATGGCGACATATTGGAATCAGAAATTCAACCTTTTAACTAGACGAGATGTCGAAAATGACAATTTACAATTTATGAACAGAGACGTAGGTCAAATTCCTTCAACCTTACACCGTCAGGTGACAGACAGTTGAATTTTCATGATTTTTATTCAAGATTCAGACGTGAATCACAAGTACCCAATGGATTATAAAAAGAACGGAAAAAACTATTTTAATAAATAATTACTGTGGAATTACAAATGTTATCCGCGACAAACAAAAGTCTCTCTGTAATTTGTTAATTCACCATTAATGAGTAAATATAGTGAATGCGACACGACCAATGTGATATCATTCAATTTTATACTGTTTTAGAAGTGACCCCAGATAACCCGAGCAAACTATCGAGCTGTCGTCTCCTAGATGCCATCCCCACACGATCTGGGGAGTACACTAACAAAATAGTTTACTAAAATTTTGAAAATAAAATTTAAGTCAATCACGAACTAAATCTTGAATAATATATAATTCCGATGAAATAATAATGCTATTAATTAGTCATAATATTTTGTCCGTGTAATTAATAGAGGAATTCTGAAGAAATTCACATCTTTAACTATTTTCGTAGTTAATTAGGGTGACTTTAAAATCTCAGAACATCAATTGAATGGTCAATAAGGGTCGGGTTCACTAGGGGCCAGGGGCAACCTAATTGTTGCATTATGAGATCTAAAATTGCCAAAATGCTTTTGATTACATGTACAGCAAAAATACATCAGCCTATTTGTACAAAGAGATGATGAATACACGTCCATGTTGTTTTCATTTGTACTTATGGACTCTGATAAGCAATTTACTAAACACCATTCTAAGGGAAATTTAACAAATGATATTATTGTAGAGACATTAATGAGCAAATATGTTATTAAATAATATCGACATTAAGGAGAGTAACTATGAAATGAAGGCAACCCTGGTGAGGGCGCCGCCCACTCTTTTGATAATGACTCGATCCTCATCGCTGTCCTCCCTCTTATCACAGACCTGTTGTTTTCTCATTCAACTCACACATTGTTTTGATGTATTCAGATCACAGTTTTAAAACGCCATTCGAACTCCAATTAACACATTAAAGGTTTTGAAATGTAATAGAGTAGGGTGTAGCGGGTAGTTTCGCGCTGCCGTACGTAACGGAAACTTCAAAAAGGACTTTAAATGCAAAATTTATATATCTGCCCAACTTATAAGTACTTCTTTGTTAACTTGCCTTAAATTGTCGAAATTTAACTTGAGTCTTGTTATAGAGAGGCCTAGTTCACGGAAGCTGTGTTCGGGAAAGTCCGGCAGACTCGAGTAAGAAATATCAAGTCCGATCTTAGTCTCCGGGCTGAATTTGTTTGTGAGTGCTCTGGCGATATCTTCGTATGCATTGATTCGCTGGCAAACAACGAGTATGGCCCCGGTGCCTTTATCCTCACGTCGGCAAGTGCATGGTGATATCTCCCTTCGCATAGCACAGTGGAGGCTGGCACCAGCGCCGAGCTGTCCAGCCAGCGCGCACAGGAACGCGGCGGCGAGCGCATACGTGTGCGCGATCATCGTGTGTGCCGTTCGGGGCTGTCTGCGCTACTGGCGGCGCGGACGCAGCGCGCCTGGACGTTCCCGACCCACCCCGCGCACTACAACACCCACCCGTCTGCACTCTGCACTTTCTGCCTATATACACTATCCGCCCACGTGCATCTTGATAGATTTATCTCAAATAATATATACGCTCTATAAAAATAACAATAAATATTGTAGTAAATAATGTGTAAAAACAAAAAAAAATAAGCAATTCAAAATGTACTTTTCACAAAATAAACAAAACTAATTATATTTTTATAATAAATGTCAAGTCCGATCTTAGTCTCCGGGCTGAATTTGTTTGTGAGAATAAACAAAACTAATTATATTTTTATAATTAGTTTTGTTTATTTTGTGAAAAGAAGCTTAATTAAAGTGAAAAAAATAAAATTCTTTTATTGAAATCTGGTTTGTGTAGATTGGACCCTTTTTCATGATAATTACGTGGTTAATTAGTACCGTTATCGTTTGTATGGGAGAAGAAATGCATAAAATACATACATATATATAAATAAAATCATTAAATACACTATCATACCTTTGACACTTAAATTTGCTGAATTTCAAACAATCGTAAAAAAATAAAACTTCAGAAAAATTTAATTAAAGTGAAAAATAATTAATGAAACTTCTGTTGAATCCGTAAGAGATATTAATTATCTACCTACCTTATTTATTTTTACATAATAAACTTGTAGAGTTAAAATTATGTAGTAATAATTGAGCATTTACAATAAACAATGAAAAATTTAAAAATATTACAAAAAACCTTGCACAAGCTCAACAGAAGTATTTCTCTAAATAAAATAAAAAATATTACTACTTACATACTAGCCTAAAACCAGCCTTAATTCAGATGGTTTTCTTTTATCTTAATAAACTTGAAAAATAATCCCAATTTAGATATGACAAACACATTTCACGAGAAACTTACCTCGGGAACGAGTTAAAACTTACGCATCGGCCTTCATTTCCGCAGACATGTGAAGGCCCAATTAACACGCTAAATGTGGTCCGAAACAAAAATATGGCATGACATCGATTGATTAATAGAAAACAAATAGTCAACTGCAAGCATCGAAAACGCAAGTTTTGGGAGAGAAACACATATTGATATCTCAGTTTTTTAATTTAATAGTTTTGTGCTTTAAAATATGAAATGAAGTAAATATCTTAAAATTAGATATTTCGATAAAATATATGTTATGATTTCATGTAATAATGACCTTTTTAGTGATCGTATTTTGAAGAGAGACAAGCCTCCCATGAGTAGACCGCTCATATAAGTCGGATATTTGACGTCGAATTTCCTTTAACTTTTATATTTATTCTAATTTATTTTTTATATACAGGTAAATTACGAGGTTTATTTTCAAGAACGCGTAAGCTAAGTCTGTTTTCAAAGTTAGCTTTTTATAAAGGTCATAGGACGCCTAAAAATACGCTTGAAAATTTACCCTCTCAGGTAAATTCACTGATAGTCGACGATACTTTCAATAAGTGTTAAATAATTAAGTTATGACGCAATAACACTTAGTGATAATTTGGTAATTGATAATTCGGTATTGAATATATGAATTAGCAGTACTAATTACAAAAATTTAAACCAAATATAGATTTTCTTTTTAATTTTACAAGTAAAGGTACTGTTTTACTTAGAAGGAAAATCAACTTAGCGACATTCTTGACTTATTCGATTTATTGAAATTTGGTCACTGGTAACAGGATGTTAGAAGCGCACTACAAGCACCTACTATATTTTATCAGTAGGCCAAGTTCATTCAGATAAGGCTGAACTTATTATCTAAGGTAGGTACTTTATATAATTTCACAATTACTGAAATCAAACACCACAACTTTCTTCATTATTTGATTTTTTATTATTGAAATCTAACATAATAACTATATACTTATTAAGTATAAGTACTTACTTTCATTATCAATCTTGTACTGGGGGTTTCCACGTTTCAAACATTTGTAATTTGCAAGACTGTTAATCGTCGTGTTAATTGTCAAGGAAAATATTACTTGATATTTTTATAAAAATAGGTTCAGATCTATTTTATTAACCGGGCCAAAAACTTTGTATGATGCCCTCTTCCTTCCTCTTGCCTATTTATCTATTTCTGCAGTGTATGACTTTTTCTTTTATTTCAATTAGGGATTTTGAAGCATGTCCGTTCCACCAATAGCCTATGTGTTTTAACTGGCGCCCGGGACAAATCCCTCACTCGTTCCCTTTAGATCCGGTCTTAAGTTTCCTTGCTACTATTATACACTAATTTTTTCATTATAATTAACTATTAAAATTATTTTTAAAAAATATTAGCCTAGGTTGAGGAACGTATGACATAGCTTCTCGTAAATGAAAGAATTTTCAATATCGGTTCAGTAGTTCGGAGCTTATTTAAAAAAAAAACAATTATATATTTCCTCTTTATAATAGCAGTATAGATTCATAAAGCAACTACTCAAATTTATATATTTTAACTAGGTAGATATAAAAACTCACTAATTACTTTGTAAACAGACACACAAAATATATGTTTGTTTCAAACTTGAATCAAAAAATATATTAAACAAAAACATTGTGCGGGTTTTATAAATAGATCACTCTTATAGATTACAGTTAACTACGAATACGACTACAAATGAATTTAAACATGTCTAAGAGTGACAGTTTTTATTCAAAACATTATTTAGCTATGTCCGAAGAGCATAATTATACTAGGGGGATGCTGTATCCTGATACCTATTATATCCAAATTAATCGACTTTTTAAAACAATGATAATTTTAACATGTATAAAATGTAGAAATTATTTTATTTTAATTTAATTACTCGACATTGGCAGAATTGTGCGAAACGCGCCCTTCTTCTTGTTCTTCTTAACAAATGAAGAAAAAGGGCGTTGTACCTTAATATAGGGATAAGTATTACTTTGGGGAAAAACTATTTGCGTATATAGTGTGCATAAACTTGTAATAAAATCTTTCTGGTTATACTATTTATGTCTGGCTGATTTCAGTACTTATCATTAAAAAAATTAATTAAAAAATAACTCTGAATTCAAATTAGGAAAATAAGTGATCTTTGTTACTATCAAAATAAGTAAAGAAATTCGATACATTTTAAAGTTTTATCACAAAAACCCGAACCATTTTTGAAGAAACTGATAACTAGTGATGAAAAATGTATCACGTACGAGAAGAACATGCGAAAAATTCGTGGTCAAAGGTCGGTTAGGCTTCAAAGACTGTGGCAAAACCCGGATTAACTCGCAACAAGGAAATGTTGTGTATATGGTGGGATTCGACGGACATTATATCGCTTATGCGAAAAACAAGGCAGCGCATTTTGTATTCATTCAAAATCTAAAAGAAGGATTTTCTAGATATATTATTTTTCGATGAAAATAATATTTTGTTTTGTTATTAAAACAAAACTATCAATTAGATGTCTGTAAAATTTAAATGGGACCACATCGGGTCCACAAGTTGTCTAATAAAAAAAAGTATTTTAAAAATTCGCGGAAGGCATAAAATGATAATGCGTGTGATTGCACGTCAGGTTAACACAATAAATTTATTATATAAACTACCTTTTCGCTAGCATCCATACCAATCCATACATACCTACATACCGACGCTGGAAAGCAAACACGTAGTAACCTGCAAAACCAAATTGGATATTTAGAGTGGAAAATCTTTATATTTTTCCAACAAACAATATCTTCTTTCCGTATTTATTGACTAAGGAACACCTCTTAAAGAGACTTAAAGTTCTCGAGGTATTTTTTCCGAAGTTGCGTCTATTTGTCTATCAGCTACGAACCATATACGACAATATATTTTACAAATTGCTAAACTTGTTTCAATATTTTTCGTGGGACCACCTAAGATGCTAGGAATATCTCTGTCACTTCTCCCACGTTTAGAGCCTTTAATGTTGCTGTAAAACGCAAAAAAATAAATAAGACCGTTATAGTGTTAGTATAGATTTAAATAGTATTGCTTTTTAAATTACAACTTGAATTTATATTAATTTTTAGTATTTATTTTCATTTTGAACTTTTAACGTGAAAAATTAAATTGATTAAATGAATATACTTGTAGTTCGATATGTCTTATATTTGCAAAAATGACTATGTTAATACTATCTGGGTACTTAACAGTTGTGTGACAAAAATTATTTCGCGGAACCCTAGTGACTGTTCAACGGTACCTAGAAGTTCCGTGGAACCCACATTTTATTTCAAAACAAGCTTTCTGCCCGCGTTTATATGAATATTTAATCATATTATACAATAAGGATATAATTACAATGATAAATTGAATAGTAAACAGTAGTTGCTATGGTAACTTTTTAATTCCCTATACAAAATCCACTCCCATTTTTATCACTTTATTTACCATTTTAGGGATAAAATATAGCCTATGTTCACCGTATATAATGTAACTTACCACAGGTGAAAGAATTTTAAATATAGCTCCATTAGTTTTGGAGTCTATTTGATGCAACAAACATACAAACAAACAAACAATCAAACCTTTCCTCTTTATAATATGAATTAGTGTATACATTATAGAAGTACAGATAAAGTGGGTTCCAATCATATATCTTATGTATCTATCCTAAGATGAAAAGTTACGGTAGAGTATTTTTTTTTCATTTTTCATTCATCCATTCTTCATCGTTATAAAAAGTTATTTGCAGTAGTATTTTTTATCTATTTGAATCTATAATTCGTTAGTTCGCCTAATGCAAGCAACGCAATCTAAAACATTTATCTAAGTTATTGCTCTACATTTTTCCACAGTCTCTGTTAAGATTTTAAAATAATAAAAAATATCTTTGTGGAGGAAACAAACAAAGATTATTATAAAAAATTAAGATGATAATCTTAATTTGTTAAATTGAATCTTAATTTGTTTAATTGCTCTACGTTTATTACCTACATACAAACGGCTGCAGGTCACAATATGTTAAATTTCTCCTGTTG